CAATAAAATGCAATGTTCAAATAATTGAAACACTAATCAATTGAAACTAATTCATAACTAATTGTGAGTACATATTACGATCATCATGTTTATCATATTGTGAGTGCATATTACGGTCATCAGGTTTATCGTATTGTGAGTACATGTTACGGCTGTCATATTTATCATATTGTAAGTGTATGTTATGGTTGTCATGTTTATCATATTGTGAGTTCATGTTACGGTCGTCACGTTTATCATATTGTGAGTGCATATTGCGGTCGTCCCATTGGCAGCCTGAAGGTAAGCCTGCAGTAGGTAGTGCAAGTCTTGCCCTTATCGCTCGAACTTCCTCGACACTAGTTTGAAATACCCTAGCCACAACTTCTTCTAGAATTTGAGGTCTGCTCGCAAACATGGAAATTGCAATAAGCTGAACACCAGGATTTTGGCTGTTAAAGGCCACAATAATAGTTGCGTTACCTCTGCCAATATTAAACTGGAAATGGATGAGCCCTCTTGGGAAAACAAAGACTTCTCCCTTTGTGATCAACTTGTTAACAAAAACATTGTCCGTAGTGATAAATCCAGCAACTAACGCACCCTCTTTTACGAATATAATTTCAGTGGCTCGAGGGTGAGTATATGGGGGGTCTAAACCATCACGATCAAAGTCTACTCGAGCCATTGATACACCCTGTGTGTTAAGGCCGGGCATGTTAAAAACGTCGGCTACACCGATTCGAGTGCCAAAAATATTGGGTACTCCTAGCTGTGCAATTCCCATTGATGCGAAATCTTCTGGTGTGAATGTAAAGTTCCTTTTGCACGGAAATCCGTTCACCGTTATACTGTTTCACGTGTATATTAGAAAAGGTTATAGGTGTAATTAAATATGAATAATCAGCATTATGATATAAATAAAAGATTTAATATAGAAGACTTTAACTCATGCATCCATAAAGGTGAGATTTTATTCTATTATTTGCCTTTTCTAATTAATGTTAGATTTATGGTCAAAGTTTGAAGATATATTTTGCTTAAATCATGATATAAAAAAGTAAATATTATAATTATAAGTTCGTTCTTTTTACACAGATTGAAGAAGATGGAAATTGATTAAAGATTGTTCATTAGACAAGTGATGCTACACTTCATATGAGGAAGCAATATATATATACTTTGCCTTTTTTAATGTACGACTAGACTTTTTATGTTTCACTTTACTTTCTCAATGATATGTTCCCAAATATTATTATCTAGAATATTTGTAGATGTAATTAGTTATAATATATATTTTTTATGAATTTATCTTCTCTCTCTATAGGTAGCCAATCATATTGCTATGTATTCATTCATCACGATTTGGTTACATCTAGTGACAAATAATTTGTCCCGAAATAGCTTCTTATTAACAACATGATTATATTTTTAACTACAAGTTAACGTAATTTGATGACAATTGAAATTGTCCCTAATTAATACACATACAGTAAAAAATTAGTTGTCACTAATAGCACAATTTTTAGTGACATAAAAATAGTTTCAGGTACGAACTTTTGCCTTTTTCAGACAAAAAAATAGGTCACTAAATTATACTATATTTAGAGACAAAAATTCCTTTTGTACTTAAAACAGTCTCTTTTAGTGACGTAATCACATTCTTTTAACTACAAATTATATTTAGCCTGAGAGACAATTGGCGTCGTCACTAATTAAAATTATAGTTAGTGACGAATTAGATTCGTTGGTATTAAAGGGCCTTTTAGCGACGACTTGATACCTTTAACCACAATGTTTTTACATTTTTCAAGACTATGTTCGTCACAAATACTAGGCATTTGGGAACGAAAAAGAATTTCGTCCCTAATATAACTTGATTTAGCGACGAATCACAAAATTGTCTTTGTATACTTTTAGTGACGGTGTTTTCGAGACGAAAGATTGACGAATTATTTTTTGTCACAAAAAATTATTTGTGACGAAATATGACTTTTAAGTGACAAAATAATTTGTCATTGATAAACAAATTTGTTGTAGTGTATGTTAAAAAAGCTTATAGGAGTAATTAAATATGAATAATCAACAGTACGATATAAATAAATGATTTAATATAGAATACTATAAGTTGTCCATAAAAAGTGAGATTAGTAAACTAGAAAATAATGTAAGTTTTTACCTAGCTACTACAACAGATAAATATAGAATGGTTCTGTAAAAATATTTTACGTTATAGATGTGGCGAAACAAGTGTTTAGAAATGATATAAGTGCTCTGAGATAACATATACATATACACGTGTGTGGTTGGGGGAGTTGGGGTTGAATGTTAAATTGCTCCAAAGATATTTTCAACTAGACTTTTTTGCTTACGTTTATCATGTTTACATAAGAGATTCTTGAGAGACGATGAGGAAGTTGTATAGTTGGGAGAAAGAACAGTGAAAGCAATGAGAAAAGAGATCGACATTTTCTATCACTGAAAAACATACTAACTATTTATAAGTTAACCATGGAGGAAATGAGCAGTTGGTTGTGTTCAGATCTGCGACACAAACATCTTGGAGGGGATCTGGATCAGTAGCAGAAGCACTGTTAAAAGTTATAGTTAAAATGGTGATAACTAAAAGGATCATGTTGTTTTTGGTGGAAGAAACCATGGAGATCTAAAGTAAGAATTGAAGTTATAGTACGTAGAAAATTAAGGAGAGAAAATGGTAGCTTTATTTATAGGAGTTTCTATTGTTTGCATGAGATCATGATAGATCAATTCCAGGGGTCCACATGTAATCCAAGTTATTCAATTAATCCACTACAACTAAGTTGGTGCGACTTGTTAAAAGAAAACTACTCAATTAATTTCATAAATAATGTGATGTATAAAAGTAGAAAAAGTTATATTTAACTTCGTTTGAATTTGCAGTACATAAAGTCATAACTGAACTCAATCTTACCACTGTAACGATGTAGTCAACAAGGAAGGAATGATACATACTAAGTAAGGTTAAGAAACTGTAAAATTATGAAAATATATCTACGTACGCCAGTATATGGTATAGTAGCATTAATTAAGCACTTGATGAAGTTAATGGACCGAGTAACAAATGTTGCTCAGATCAGATAATTTAAGCATGCATGCAAGATATAATTTCTGTATATCTACAAGAAAGTAACAGCAAGAAATTAAATGTTACGAATGTGAAAACAATGAACTTATGAATTTGCTTCTTATTATAGTGATTACTTTTTCTTCGGTTTGGCTGGTGGTGGAGTGAAGACCTTACACTCATGTAATTAGGGGTGTACATGGACCGGATTGGTTCGATTTTTATCAAAACCAAACCAAACCAACTATATCGGTTTGGATTGATTTGATTTTGTCGGGTTTTCGGGTTTTTTGTTACTTAAATATTATTTCAATCTTACTTTGTTAAATATTTGATAAGTAAATATATATTTAGTAAAAATATAAAAAAAAATTGACAAACATATTATCGATTAAAATATTCTTATGGGAGAATTCTATTAGTAACACATAGTAATAGTTATTTTTTTAGTCGTCCAACAATAATTTTTCGTTGATGTATACTTTCAGGTTAACCGATTTTAGTAATTAAACATAAAAATCAATATGATACCTAAATTTTAATAATCACTTCACATTCGAAAAAGATATAAGAATTTAATAAATCTTAACATACGATATGAATATGGAAGAACAAAGAGATAGACATATTTAAGTAACACTTGATAAGAAAGTGATCATACAACCCAGTATTTAAGGTCAATAAATATGAATCACTTCATATTCTATTAAATTTTATATCCCGCAAGAGAATCCTAAATATATCTAGATATTTTTTAAAGAAAATTCTATATAAAATCTTAAAAGTATATATAAAAATTATATATTTATATGTCGGGTTGGTTCGGGTTTTTTTTACTCAATACCAAACCAAATCAAACCAAACCTAGTCGGGTTTTTTAATAGATTTGGTTTGACTTTTCGGTTTGTGCGATTTTTCGGTTCGGTTTGTACACCCTAACCTGTAATACCAGTTATGAACTTACTTGAAGAAGTTGTCTACCGGGGCATTACAAAAGACTAATGCAAATTAAGAAAATTTTAATATTCTGAGTGTGTAAATAATAAGATACGTATACGTAGTTATGTATTTAATTAGCACTTCATAAGAGTAATAAAAAATTTCTTAGATTGCATATTTAACCGATCATAAGAAATAGGGAAAAGAAACCATATTAATTACCTCCATATGACCCACAGCTCTTTGTAGTTTCAAGAACCAATAAGTTTAGCCCTTTACCAAGTATGAGTGTTGCATATACTAGCTGTTTCACGTATTAAACACTGTTTTTTCTCTTTTACTTCTCCATATGATATAGTTTACAAATTATATGCACGCGTAAAAGAGAAAAAGAGCAAGTACCAGATTAATAAAAAATTTGTTCCACAAAATATTTCCATATCATATGGTAAATTGGTAATCATCTAAAAAGATCACCTTCTCCCATCTATACCTGGTAATTGGTAAAACGCAGGAGAAATGTAAAAGTAAAAATGCGTGCCGTAGACCCAATTAAGCTTAGTGCACCGGCAAGCCATTTATTACTTGGAAAGAAAAATAAAAGGAGCTCAACTAAAGTTCTGCTGAATTAGATAATCGATGAACGTTTGAGCAAATATTTTGGGTTAACTTTGAAATAGACCTACGAGTTTAACTTTAGAACCTCAAAATCCTAGTTGTTCGGCCTGATGTTCTAATTACGAGTTGCTTCATCGATAACACTAGTCTCCATCTCCATTTCTTTAGTTGTATGTAATCTCCCACCGGACAAAGAATTTGAGAGTTTTGCTAGTTAAGTTAATGTTATGTTGCGAACGATGTGACAGTAGCTCCCCAAGGCAATCTTTTCAAGTCTGGGATCTTTCTGCAATGGTTTTCGGTTTCTGTAGTTAACAAATTCTGCGAGCAACAAGACAATGCCTAAGACTCAAGAGAAGTATGTCATCGCATCAGCTGAGCCAAGGGCTAGATTAGGATTGTTTTATGCGTTGTACATGCAACCGACAGCAATTCCAATTTACATAGGACGAGAACCGTAGGATAATCTAGATTTATACATTAACATCAAAGTGTGTCAAGTGCTAGATTAAAAAAGAGTTTCAGATGCCCAGTGNGGGGGGGCTGACTAATTGCAGTATTTTCTTCCAGAAGAGCAAATAAAATTGAGGCACCAGCTACCAAGGGTCTCCGCAAGCACCATCCCGACTGAACCACTGAATGTCTTCCAAGCAGATAAGAGGAAACCACAATGCATTATTGTTTCCATTAGAGGTGTACATGAGTAAGATTGGTTCGGATTTTCTAATTACCAAACCAAACCAATTGTATCGGGTTATTAAATCTAAATATCAAACCAAACCAATAAAAGCCAGATTTTTTAATCTCGGCTTCTCGGGTTTTTCGGGTTTTCGGGTTTTTCGATTTTTTTTTCCATAAAGTCTTCATAGCACAAAATGTACAATTTGTGCTCCAAATATTTCTTTAATCCTAGTAAGAAAGAACTATATAAGGTGTTTTTCAATAAAATAACATAAATATGAGATTGAGTCATGGCATTGTACTAAAATATTCAACAATAAAGATAATAAAATCGCATAAAATAAATATTATTAATAAGCCATAAGGAAAACAAACTTAATTTAAAACTATGACTAATAAGTACTATTATTTACACGACTAACCACTAAAAGAAATATAAGTTATACATTTCATCTAAAACATGGAAAAACTAAAAAATAGATATCCAACACTATTTTCATTCATAGTACAATTGAATTAAATGTCTTTTATTAGCATTAGTATTGATTTGATTTTGGTTTAGGATTTATTTGAGTTACTAACATTTATGGACTATAAAACTTATTGGAGCATCCAAAAATTATAAGTCCAAGCTTGAAATAATACGTTAAAAGATAAAACTATAAAAAAGCTTAAGAAATATTTATAAACTACACTACCATAAATATTTTTATGTATTAAATATATTTAAAACTAATATACATATAATGTCGAGTTGGTTTGGTTTCAGTTTGACTTTTTTTAGTTAAAACCAAACCAAACCAAATATGGTCGAGTTTTTTTTTCCAACACCAAACCATAGTCGGATTTTTTTTTCTCAGTTTGACTCGGATTATCGGATTGGCACGGTTTGTTGTTTCATTTGTACACCCCTAGTTTCCATAAAGAGAACAACAACCAAAGGAACGTAGGTTTAACTAGCGTCAAGTTAAATCATGACGATACTAATTCAAACGCACATCAAACTTCTTCAGATACACACTGTTAATCCAAGTCTGGAAGTACTTGTGAATAGACCAATTATTTTTTTCTTCATTTGTACATTATGAAAAAGAAACAGTCATTTTTTATCTTTTCTTCCATTACATTCCAACTACGAATGCTTGATATCTCTTCAAGTACATACTGCAATTCCTGTCCGGTTTAGATCTTGAAAACTGCATATAATATTGGTGCATTGAAAGGACACCAAATTACTATGCAGAAACCAAAAGGAAACACATTAGCCACTAAATCTACTTTTGAAATCAACAAAAATCCAAAGGAAACACATTAGCACTTCAATTCAGTTGACATCTTATACACCAATTAGGCTTCGATACATAGGCAATGGTATTTGGGAAAACTCATCAAAGTGCCATCAGAATCTATGTTGCAGATTCAAAGTAGACAGCGACCAAATAAATTAGGTCAAATCATCTTACCTGACAAGGTACGAAACCATCACTTTACTGCAAGCTTTAACTTGATGCTAACTACTTCTTCTTCTTACCACCACCAGCCTTTGATTTCTTGTTAGCAGCTCCTTTCTCAGTAGTCTCAGCTGTTTCCTGTGACCAAATAGAGCGTCATATTAAGATCTCATCTTCAGCCAAAGATATGTCATTTCAGAGTTGTTATTCTGTTAAAAAAATTACTAAACCAAAAATGTCAAAAATAGAAAATAATACCAAGAGTACTTAGCTTAAAAACATACAAATTGTTGTCCATTTGAAATCAAAAATTATCTGTTAACGTAATAACTTCCAGCAAAAAGATGGACGAAATTTTTCAAATTGCAGTTCTCAAAGTCATTATCCCTACTGCCAGCTCAACCTATGTAGTCGTTACTTTTCAGCTTGATATTTGTCTGTTCACAAGTAGTTCATGGACACAATTTTTAGGAGGATGATTTTGAGTTGTACCACCCTTTTTGTTTTTTTTGTTTTTTGAGAAAGGTAACAAATTATTTCTATTTTTTTTTTTTTGAGAAAGGAGGATGATTTTGAGCTGCATCACCTGTATCTTCATGAATTAACAATTTCTATTCTTAATCTTCTTCAATAAATTTCTTTTTCACAGGTTCAGTATTCACTATCCAGCACGGCAATCTTAGCAAAAGCAATACCTAAATTAGAGCATTTTGAACTATGAATGGAGAAAACTTAGAGATCAAAGTTCATGAGGGGTTTACAGCATCATGTGCCGAAGCAGACGTGTCTGGATAACGGCACGGAGTAATTGGATCCCAAATCTAAAGACGGGGAGATTTGGCTGCCAAGGACCATGGGTCTGGATTGTACGGAGAGTGTCTTAAACTTGGTAACAGGATTTGGAGATACAAGAACACATTTAGTTCCCTGTGAGCCAATGTACCAAAAGTTATGGGGGCAACCAATTATAATTTGGAATAAACATCAACAAATTCTATATCTAGTATGGGCATACTTTTTTGGACGAGGCTATGCCTGAGAAAATTGTATTCCAAGAGAAAGAAACTTCTTGGGTTTCGGAAAAGCACTACAAATGAAAGGTGACCTAAAATTGATATTCAATCCCAAGAAAGATCAACATAAGATGCACAAGATATGATTAAAAGGAAGACAAAAGAACATAGCCAATTACTGTTCTTAATACACGTAATTTACAGTTGTTAATTAAGTGAATATAACATATAAATGTTATCCAATTCTTCTATCGCCAATAAAAGGAAAGCAATTGAATAATTTTGGCAATCATTAGATGTTATCCTAACAGTAAATGAGTGAATTAATTTTGAAATAACACTAAACAAGGGTCAGAAAGTTTAAATAACAAACCAAAAAGAGATGCCACAGCTACGGGCATACCGTAGCAAAANGTTCAAAATTCATGTCACATAGAAACCATGTCTATAGGGCCTAATGGGTTTAATTTGCCTCAATTCTAAAATTGTATAACGTTTAATGTGAAAATTTGTTCGCGTGAATTGGTTGTCTAAGTGTGGAGGCTAACTTGAGATCTTAACTGCTTTTACATGAAGTCCAACTTGTTTTGTATGTCACCTAGTTTTATCATTTCTGAGCAGCCTAAGCTAAGTTTGGAAACCATCCAAAATAAAGGTCCAAACGCCTCCTGGGCCATAGGTATGGGACGAGTAGTGCAAGCATAGGGCACGGTTTAGAACCAACTAGTGCGCTTTAGGTAAAAACTTAAAGATAGTAATCGGGTAGCAGGAGATGATAGTCTATGCCCGCTGAATAATATGACTAACACCCCATCTCGAGGGAGTTACGAAGTATTATTTATGTTGCACGGGGTGATCCTTTAGGCTAATAAACTTAGGACCCCCTATCTTATATTTAAACCAATTATCTATGTTTACTCAAGGACTTTCTAATAATGAATTTTTGTCAAACTTTTTGTTTTTCTCTCTGACTATTTGACTAATTTATATAATTCAAGTTTGGCCGGGACCCATAGTTGTGGACTTCGAAGAGTTCCTAACACCTTCTCTTCAACGTAATTTCAGCCCTTACCCGATCTTTGGTGACGCAAACTGGTTAAACCAGAGTTATTTGCAAATAGGTGCCCTAACGCACCTCAAACCTATTAGATGGCGACTCTCTCTTTTAACACCTTCCTTTAAAAGAGTTGTCACGTGTCGAAACCCGATTTCGCGAGAAAGAGGGGCGCGACAGCATGGCAACTGTGCAGGGGACATTTTTAGGCTCTTACCATAGCAAACTTGGTCTATATGAATTAGTCTTCTTTGATGAATGTGTTTCCTTGTTCTTTATAGTTACATGAACATCCTGCTTCCATTTTCCCTTTTTATGGCTACATGCACACCATTTCCCCTATTTCCCTATATTTTGAATTTCTATTAATATTCATATTTTTGCTTAATGTTGTTACAATGTGCGTTTTCCTTTATTTTCCAAGTCATGTTCACTTGCTCCGAATCATTTTTA